CATGATGCCATAACATGGCTTTATATATACAAAAGGAAACTAAAACTATAAAGGATATGATGAAATTAAACATCAATATGAAACAATTTATAAAACTAAATAACTGTAAGAAATCTATCAAAAAACTATTTCATATCAAAGAGAGATATTCAAATGAAAGCTCACAATCCAAAATTTTTGCTCAATCAAATAACAAATAAGATTATTATCAGATACATCTCTAATAGATTTTACAAACTAAAACGAATTATTATAAAGATAAGGAATTCAAATGAGGTGATATATTAAATTATAAATTTTCACGGTATTAATTTCTTAATTTTACATAGTAATAATCAATAAATCCTCCAGGCGCATAACCAATGGGGGGGGGGGTCTCTTCCATGGCAAATTTGACTGTTTTCATAAATATCATTTTATGCTAATAAAAATTTTACCCCCCTCCCCAGTCAAAATTTTGCAAATATTTGAAATCAATTTTCCAACATAAAACTTCTTTTTTTAAAATAAATTGTATTATAATTTCCTTTCTTTTGTGAGTATATTAACATTATTCAAAAATATTAGTAAAATGGAAAAATTTTAAATTAAAGAGATAGTTTATCATTATTACAGGCGCGTACACAGGAATTTAGTCTAGGGGGAAGGGGGGGGGGGATTGTTTTTTAAAAATAACAAACGTAAATTTCTTAGGACTAATAACTATTTCTAATAAACAATTTTAAATTATTGTGAATTATAAAAAAATTATATGTATAAACCGGCATATAAAAAACTAAAATAAATGTGAATTATAAAATATTAAACGGATATAACTGGCGTATGAAAAACTATAAAATAAATGTGAATTATAAAAAATAAAGTGAATATAACCACTATAAGAATCACTTAAATGACCCAAAATAGAAATTTGAATTTTTTGAGCCTTTAAAATTTATATATAAAGTATAAAAAATGAAATGTTGGAAATATAAATTAACACACAAAAAGTTTCTTAGGAATAATTGTACTTTTTATGTTATATATTTACAATGTAAAATCCAATCTTAGTTGGGATTGAGCTAATTTTTCAATTATCTCATCCATGCTTGTCGTCAAATGCCTATAAATATTCAAAAGATCCAAACCTCAGAAGTTGTACTTCTTGGTATGTTTTTCAGAGACCTGTAGGATATACCCGGGCTGGGCCCGAAATTTTTTTTAAAAAACACCCGGGTTGGGCTGTACATCTTAAAACAGCCTATATTTGAAATCGTAATTATTAGCTATAAAAATCAAAAATAAATATAACTTATTTTAAAAAAATTAGGGCCGGGCCTGAAAATTTTATTTTAAAAAAGCCGGGCAGGGCCTGAAATTTTTTTTAAAAAAACTCGGGTCGGGCCATAAAAAATTATATAAAAAAAATCCTGGCCGTGTCCTGCAAATGGTACCTCTGTAGTGCTCTGTTATTCTTCTTAAAAAAGAGAATACTATTGGGAAGAGTTGCTAATATATATAAACCCTTTTAATACATTGGGAATATAATTTAAAATGTATTTGAAATAATGCAAAGCATCCATAGCATTTTTTGGGAATTTATCAACCATAGTTAATTTTATAAACATTATTCAACTAATAAGTCAGCATAAGATACTTTAACATCTTCATGATAAAAATCTATCAAATATTTTTTTTTATCAACATCTGAAAAAGGTTGGGATGCTTTTGTGAAAGTAATATTTGCAGATTGGTAAGTGTTGCATGATGAATTAAAAACCATTCATTTATTTGGGTTATAAATGTATCTAAGAGAGGGGACTTTTGTTTTAATACTCTTCTACTGATCCTATATTAATGTTTTGACGATGAGCTTACCATGCTGCAAGTCGAGGGAGACAAATATTAAACACGTATAGCTCTGCTTTAGACTTAACATTAACATATAAAATATGAAATTCTTCATCAACATTAGCCCTAATTTCCTTGAGTTCTAATAAAATGCTCTCCGCTATTCTCATCTTCTTAATCAAGTCAATGTCATGTTTTTAAAATTATTACATAAAATAATTATATAATTAAATAATACATTCTAATGAGAAAAAAATTTGGAATAAGCATTGAATCCAATAATTTTCTTGCTTCTGAAAAATATTTCTTTCAGGCCATTGTGATATTTCATTAATAGCAAATAATCGGCTCTTCTAACTAGGCAAAAGTACGAGCCTAATTTTTTTTTAAAAAAATCAGGTTCGGGCCAGGTCGGGCCTAATATTTTTTTAAAAAAATCGGGTTCGGGTCAGGTCGGGCCTAATTTTTTTTGAAAAAATTCGGGCCGAGTCTGGTGGGGCCTTAAAAAATTTTTTAAATATATCTGAACTTATCAATTATATATTGAATTTTTTATGTAAGGAGTTTCAGAAATAATTATTATTTGACTAGAAATTTGAAAATGGTAGGATAAATCCACTAAAAATTTGAACGTAATAAGTAAATATTACGCCGGAAAACTTGAAATCTAAATTAATTGATAAAATAACTTAGTAGATGAATGTGATAATAAATGTAATTAAATATATATTTAATATGAGATAGGAATAAATATTAGCAAATATAAATTAATATAAACAATAATATTTGAGAAAAATATATCCGGCATCTGCATTTTTTGGCTTTGGAGGGGGGATTTGTCCCCCTGCTTCCCCCCGATGCGTACGCGCCTGCATTAGGATTATTTCCAGGGGCGTCGCTAGTCTTTACAATCTCAGGGGGCTCAACTAAAAAAAAATTTCGGGGGCTTCGCTCCCCATTCCCCCTATTTGGGGGCCTTCGGCCCGCTTTTGCCCGGGTTTTATATTAATATATTATACTTTTTAGAAATTTGCTAACTCTGAATAATTATTCTGAATTTCATATTTTGTCATTTATTATATTATGCATACAAAATAAACTAGCATATAAATAATTTAAACAATATAAAACATTTCTAAAAATATTATTTTTTAATATAAAATCTATTTATTACAGTATAAAATATTTTCGATTGCTGATATAAATTTTACGTCTAAAGAATTACAAGTGATAAAAAAGGTTAATTAATTCATACATATTGCCTCAATTAATAATGGTTTTTAAAAACTACATATTATAAAATTAGCAACTTACATTGACAAAAGGTGAAGAAACTAATATAACACTCTGTTACCATTTTTAGACAATGTTTTATAGAATTGACTAATAAGGAAAAATTTATAAGCACAACTAAATCAACAATTCTTGGAGAAGAGAATATAAACGACCAATCCAAATCATAAAACTATATGGTGGTAGAGCTTCCTCTTAAATGACATGATGGAAGCTAGATAAGTAATTGAGAAAAAAATTGTGAGATATTAAATTTCTAATAGATTATCTTCCATTTTTAATGATATATAAACAACTACACAGTTGACCATTATTGCTTAAAAAATATGCAATCATATGCTCTCAGCAGCTGTAATAATAATTTTAAATTATATAGCCACACATATATTAGTTGCTGGTTAATAAGCAGTAGCGTCACTAGGGAGGGGGAAGGGCGCAGGGGCTCAAGCCCCCTGAAAAATTTGAATAGCCCCCTGAAGCAAAAAAAATTTTTTTTTAATGGTTCCTTAATAACCCCTTAAACTAAAAAGAACTTTTTTTGATTGTCCCCTGTTTATTATAATTCTATTAAGTAATATATAGATTTAATTTTATTATTTAAAAATTAATAAGACTATCTAAATTTTATTAGATTAGATTAATACATATAAATTATATTTTCACTAAGTCAGCTTGCAATCAAATTCTTTGTTAAAAATAAAATATCAATACCATGCATAATGTTTAAATAACGCATTAACAGTTGAAGTTTAAATTGATTTTTATTAATTAAATTATTATATAACCCTAATTAAATAAATATAAAGATTTATTAATTGAAAATTAACAAATTTAATATTGTAAGCTGAGTTTAAAATCACTATTTAAATAAAATGACTTTGCGATTTAAAAATTTAAGCATTAAAGACTTTATGAAAAAAACTAAAGATAAAAGTAGCAATAATCTTGAGGACCAAAGAAGAGGATTCAATAATAAAGCTGGTGATGAACAAAGTATATTTTGTACAGTTTTTAAAATTCAAACTTTGATTTAGTTGAAAGACGATTAATTGTAGTTTTAAAAGATATAAATATTGAAAACAAAAATGTTAAAAGAAAGAAAATAGGTAAATAAATTTATATATAAGTCTGTGTCCAATATGTTTTAAAAAATTCTTAAAATTTTCACAAATTAATAACAAAACACTTTGGACATTTAAGTTTTAAAGAATAAAAATTTATTAGTTAATCATCTATTTTAATGGAAGGTTTCTTTTTCACTTGATCATAATTTAAGTTATATGTTTTTCCTATTTCCTCCCAAATTTGCCTAATTTCTATAGAATTTCTATTTAAGTCATTTTTCCCCAGAGTATTAAACAATATTGATTTCTTTAGTTTTCAAGTTAAGCATAAATTGCTTTACAATATATTTTCACCTTTCAGGAGCAGGACACTAGAAATGGAAATTTTTTTTAAAATTTTTCTATTATAATCACATAAGGTGATGTCAAAATATTAGCTAAATAAAACATAGTAAATATTTTCTATATAAATAGTCAATATTTTAAAAAATCATAACTATTATTCTTTTTACATTAATAAAATATTGGCTAAATTGTTTACTCAATCATTCTTTCATAATTTGATAATTATATATTTATTTGTTTATCCTAACTTAATAATAAACTATATTTTAATAAAAATGCTAAATAAATTTAGAATAGTTTGCTTATTTATATATATTTTTGAAAAATGGACACTATAATATGGAATATTACTTTTTATATATTATATATTATATTTACAAAAATAAATACACTGAAAAGAAATACATTTTAAAATTAATCTTATTTAGATTCATTGAATAATGAAAAAAGTATTGTGAATGACAAGATTGTAAATAATGTAAGTACAGAAGGAAAGAAAATAGGTAAAAAATTAATTTATATATAAGATATTTTATTTATAAAATAATAGAAGCACTATGTGTGGCTCAATCTGAAGATATATGTGAGATCCAATGTACAGATATCTCTGAATGTATTAATTTTTTAAATATAATTAAATTAAATATAAAATTTTATATAGACATAGAATCTGAAGAGGATACTACAACAAGCCAGATTCTTGGTAGCAGTAAATATAAAGGTATATTGGATAAAGAAGTTTTATTGCAACAAATTACATTTGATGAAATACATTTTTTAATTAATCTTATTTAGATTTATTAAATAATGAAGAAAGTATTGTAAATGACATGATTGTAAATAATGTAGGTACAGAAGGAAAGAAAATGGGTAAATTAATTTATATATAAAATATTTTATTTATAAAATAATTGAAGCAATATGTGTGGCTCAATCTGAAGATATATGTGAGATCCAATGTATAGATATCTCTGAAGGTATTAATTTTTTAAATATAAAATTTTAGGAATGGATTCTGAAGAGGATACTACAACAAGCCAGATTCTTGATAGCAGTAAATATAAAGGTATATTGGATAAAGAAGTTTTATTACAACAAATTACATTTGATGAAATACATTTTAAAATTAACCTTATTTAGATTTATTAAATAATGAAGAAAGTATTGTGAATGACATGATTATAAATAATGTAGATACAGAAGGAAAGAAAATAAATTAATTTGTTTATAAGATATTTTATATTTATTTATAAAATAATAGAAGCTATACGTTTGGCCCAACTAAAAATAACAACTATTCAAGTATTTTTTTCATTTTAACAATATTTTTCTTCAAATATATAATATTTGTCATAATTTTCATAAAAGCAATAATATTTTAATTTTTATATTAATATTTGTCACTTTTTTAGAAGAGCTTATACAAGTATTATTTTTATTTTAACAATGTTTTTCTTCAAATATATAATATTTGTCATAATTTTCTAAAACCAATAATAAATTCATTTATTAATTTTTATCACTTTTTTCAGAAGAATTAGATCTGGGTACTAAAACAACTGGTCCTATGCAACCTATATTAGGTGCCTATCCATATATTGGAATGGGTAAAGATAAACGATGCTTTCAAACTCAGTGGTACAAATCCTTTCCCTGGATTGAATATAGCATAACCAGAAACTCTATTTTTTGTTTTCCTTGTCGTAATTTTCCCACTCAACCTCAAAAAGGATACCCTTTTAATCAAGGTTATCAAAAATTTCGTAAGGTAAAATAATACTTAACAACTCACGGAGCAACAAATGGTCATGCAACGAATGTAATTCTCTGGAACCATTTTAAACAATCTTTGATAGAAGGCACCATTAAAGAAAAATTTATAGCTATAACTAAATCAACAATACTTGAAAGAAGAGAATATTTGAAACGATTATTCAAAATTATAATACTATGTGGTAAGTTGGAACTTCCCCTTAGAGGTCATTATGAAAGTAAGACAAGCAATAATCAATGAAATTATTGTGAAATATTAAACTGTTTGAAAGAGTATGATCCATTTTTAATAGCATATAAACCACCAGGCAATGCTCATTATTGCTCACCTCAATCACAAAATCAAATGCTATATGCAGCTGGAAACTTAATCGTAAAGTACATAGCATCAGAAATAAGGGAGGCAGGCTATTTTGCTGTCATGGCTGATGACACTCGTGATGTTAGCTCATATGAGCAATTTAGTATATGTGTTAGATATTTTGATAAAACAAAAACACCAAAGGAATCTTTTATATCTTTTCAAAAAGTTGAAGACTTAGATGCAGAGTCATTAACGAAGACATTAATAACAACCTTAAACAACAATTACATAAATGCAATTTGCGTTGCTCAAGCATATGATGGTGCAAGTGTTATGAAAGAGCATCTTTCAGGAGTCCAGGAAAGATATCGCCAAAATCACAAAATGGCTATATATGTGCACTGCTATGCGCATAAACTCAACCTTGTACTGATCTCTGCCTGCAAATCAGTACCTCAATCTAGAAAGTTTTTAAATGTATTAGAAGGTATTCATGCTTTTTTCTCAATATCTGTTATCCATCACAATAAATTTCTTGATTTGCCATTTAGGGTTAAAATACAAAAATATTGATGCCTTAAGTTCTACACGTTGGGGATCCCATATTAGAACTATAGAGGCAGTAAAAATGACTTTCCCTGCAATTTTCTTATCTAGAAAATATAGACCATGGTGATGTGGTGAAAGCAAAGGGAATTTTATATATTCTTTTACAATATGATACAGTTATGTGTATGTTTATATTCCAAAAATTATTATCTATGTGTTCCAATATTTCTATTTTTTTGCAAAAATCAGATTCGAACATATCAACAGATTGGCTCTTATTGAGTCTCTTATCAGTTCTTTGTCAAATTTAAGAAATAATTCGTATTTTTCTTCATTATTTACCGAAGTAAATAAATTTTGCAATTTATATAATATAAAAATAACAAATAAAAGAGCAAATATACCTTCTACCATTTTGAATAATTATATTCAAATAGATGATATTGTTTCTTCTAATCATTCTGATCAAACAGAAACTTTTTATAAGTTTCATGTCTTTTATCCAATTTTGGATATTATGATAAATGAATTAAAAAAGAGATTTTGCCAAGAAAACACAGATATTTTAATATCTATAAATGCTTTACATCCATCCTCCCCCCTTTTTTTAAATAATGATATCATTAAACCATTTATCTTACATTATAATCTTCCTGATCCAATGGAAGAATACATAATATTATAGGCTTATATTTTAACCTATAATAAAAAACACGAATCTACGTGTAAATCAATAATAGATTTGATAAAAATCTTACCCATAGATATATTCCCTCGTATATTTAATTGACTTAAAATTGCGTTAACTATATCTTTTAATTCCTGCTCATGTGAAAGATCGTTTTCAGCATTAAAACGGGTGAAAACACATCTTCGATCGACAATGGGTCAGGAACGATTAAATTCGTTGGCTCTATTGAGCATAGAAAAAAATATTATTAATACCATCCCTATAGATCACATTATAGATGAATATGCAATAATGACTAGCCAGCGTAGAGAACTTATTTTATAAATAATTTAACCTTATAATTTTTGAAACGCAATTTTAGGCGTTAGTATCTGCGGATAAATATATCGTTTAATATTTATTTTATAAATTTTTTTTTCATATCCAAAATTAGCTAAAAGACATGGTGCTTATAAAAAAAATTCTTTTTGAAATAGGAAAAAATCAGAAAAAAACAGTAAATGCTTTCTTTTGATATGACCAAAGTTTCTGAAAAATTTAATTAAAAATATTTGAATACATTGACAATACAATAATATATAAGATCTTAATTGCTTTCATCATATCACTATGGTACTTATTTTCTAGCTCCCAAATTATTTATTTCTAATTTGGCGCATTTAAATTGTAAATAACTCAAGGCTTCAATATATTTGCATAATTTCTTCCAAACATAATTTCTTCCAAGATTTTAGGTGTTTTTGCTTTATCAATATATCTAACATACTAGATTTTGATATTAGTCAACATCGTGTATGTCATGGCTATGACTGCAAATTAACCAGCATCTGTGTAGCTATGTAATTTAAGATTATTATTACAGCTGCTGAGAGCATATAATTGCATAATTAAGATGAGCAACAATGATCAACTGTCCAGTAGTTTATATAGGATTAAAAATGGAAGATAATCTTTTAGAAATTTAATATCTCACAATAATTTTCTCGATTACTTATCTAGCTTCCATCATGTCATCTAAGAGGAAGCTCTAACCACCATATAGTTTTATGATTTGGATTGGTCGTTTATATTCTCTTCTTCAAGAATTGTTGATTTGGTTAGGCCTATAAATTTTTCCTTATTAGTCCATTCTATAAAACTTTGTCTAAAAGGGTAGGAGAGAGTTATATTAGTTTCATGACCTTTTGTTAATGTTAGTTGCTTAGAATTATATTGCCTTATGGGGTTTTTAAAAACATTAACAATTGAGGCATATGTATGAATTAATTAATCGGTTTTATCACTTGTAATTCTTTAGACAAGAATTAATCGGTTTTATCACTTGTAATTCTTTAGACGCGAAATTTTTTATATCAGCAATTTAAAATACTTTAAACTGTAGTAAATCGATTTTGTATTGAAAAATTTGTAGAAATGTATTGTTTTAATTATTTATATTCTAGTATTAATTATTTATATTCTAGTCTTAATGATATTTATATTCTAGTCTTAATGATTATATTCTAGTCTTAATTATATTTATATTCTAGTCTTAATGATCAATATTCTAGTCTTAATTATTTATATTCTAGTTTATTTTGTACGTATAATATAATAAAAAACAAAATATGAAAATAAGAATAATCCTTCAAGAGTTTAGTAATTTTTAAAAATATATTAATATATAACCCGGCCGAAGCCCGGGCAAAAGCGGGCCGAAGCCCCGCAAATTAGGGGGTACCCCCCATAAATTTTTTTTAGTTGAGCCCCCTGAGATTGTAAAGGCTAGCGACGCCCCTGTTAATAAGCAGTCATAGCCATGACACTCACTATATTAACTTATTCAGAATTTATTATGCAAGATAAATTGATAAAACAAAAACACTAAAGATCTTTAGAAGAAATTATGCAAATGTATTGAAGCCTAAAGTTATTTACAAGGCAGGGATGCCATATTAGAAATGAAACATTTTGTAACTATAAAAAAAAGAATCAGAGGGATATGATATGATAAAAGAAATTAAATAAGGTTTTTTATATTATTGTCTCACCACCTCTAGTTGGTATATTATATCTTAAAATAGTAGTAGTTTATAATAATATCAAAAATATACTAGAATTAAAAATTTAACTCAAAACTGTTTTTCAAATAAGAAAAAAAATAGCTTTCCTAAAAACACGTAAAAAAGAGAAGAAAAGTTATCTAATTTATTACATCCATTCTGGGATAAATAATAAGATGTTAAATTTTCAAAAATATTTCTAATAATTAGATGGCGTTAAATATTTGAAAGCAATTTATTACTTATATTTATTATCAAAAGCATTTATTAGTAAAATTTATTAAAATATTAACTGCAATATATTATATAACTGTCAAATACGTCTTTAAAAGTGGAATTTAACCTAATCTTTTATAACCAATTATATCTAATAGAGGATTAATAACTATACGTTTACTTACTTTTTATAAATAAATCTCTTATACTTATTTGGATTTGGACCTTGAAAATAATTTTAAGAAGAGGCATGGTAATTAAATTAAAATATCAATAATATAGTTGAATAGTGATTTTGAACTCGACTAATTATAATATCAAATTTTTAATTTTTAAATAATATTTATTTAATTAGGGTTATATAATAATTTAAATAATATGCTAAATTAATATTTAGTGAGTGATATTAATATTCTATTTTTAACACAGTATTTGATTGCAAGCTGACATAGTGAAAATATAATTTATAAGTATTAATCTAATCTAATAATTAAAATAATATTCATTTAAGAATAATTTAGATAGACTTATTAATTTTTAAATTATAAAATTAAATCTATATATTACTCAATAGAACTATAAAAGAAATCATTCAGTGGGAAATCAAAAAAATTTATTTTTAGTTCACGGGGATATTAAGGAGGCATTAAAAAAAAAATTTTGCTTCAGGGGGCTATTCAAATTTTTCAGGGGGCTTGAGCCCCTGCCCCCCTAGCGACGCCACTGATTATTTCTAGTTATATCTATTATGATTATTGTCTTAGTTCGTAATATATTTTTTTGTTTATATGAAATTATTAAAATGTCAATCTTTTTTTTGTGATAAAATTTTTATCATTTTTTTTATATGAATTCATTTTCTTCGTTTTTTCAAAAATGAATTGATTATTAATTTTATGTTGATGATTAATTTTTATGATATTTTTTTACTATTTAATAAAGATATAAATTTTTGAAATTGTTGGATTATTTTGATTTTTTTTGTTCCCTCCTTTGGGTTCTTTTGATAATTTTTGGTAAATTTTCTTCGTAATTTTTAGAGGTAAGTTTATACGATAATTTTTGAAAGTACTTTTATTATTAGATTTTTAAAAGTAAGTTTTTTTCCACTATTTTTTTAATTATTTTATCAAATTTTAAATTATTAGTGAGTTAGGAATTAATAAATATTTTTATGATATTTTAATTATTAAATATCTATAATTTTTTAAATATTGTTCATTTTTACTTCCATTTTGTAGAACAGAAGAAATAGAAATACAAAAGTTAAATAAGGCTGAGCATGAAAAAAATGAACAAATAAAATTGAAGAAAAAAATGGTAAAGGTAGGTAGCATATATTTTATGAAAATCAGATTAGGCATTAAGTTATAAATTTTTTATTAAATTAAAAATATTTTATTTATAATCGAATCGGTTTAATGATTTAGCTCTGTTAAATATTCACAGAGATTTAGTTCAAATGACATATAAATTCTTGATAAATTGACAAATTTCCCACGAAAATTAGAAGTATTTAATAAATTTTTTGTATAATATTGTATTTGATAAGAAGTTATAAAAATT